CAAACGACGGACTCTGCTTTACATATCACAGCCGGGTTTGGGCTGCAAAGGGGCGATTGTAGGGTCCTGAATGATTGCCTAACTCATGTGAGCTCGGAGTTCGCACATTGTGCTTGTTTTTTGTTCCTGAGTTCTTGAGAATTGATCTCTTTGGAAGGCAGCGCCAAGATGTCGCCAATCGGCAGCATCGGAGCAAGGACTGCTGAAATCGGGAGCACTTCCTCGAAAGACTAACAGCTTTTAGCTAGTTATGTGTGGCTCATGCCTACTTGGTAGACTGGCTGCAGGAAGTTCGACCAAACAACCAAGTGCCCATGCTTTCCTCACTGCCAGTTTAAGCGATCTCAGCTTCCATGACAGTAATTTCCGGAACCGCCCCCTGCAGCCCGCAAAGCCTGATGTTAAATCAAGAGGACCATTGGCGCTTAACGGTCTAGTCGTGGTATTAAGTGTTGGCATAGGGTCCAACGTCACTTATGATATGTTGATTAGCTTGTTCTGCAGACTTTGTGTGACAGGACGTATTCGGCTGCGCAAACGTGCCATCTCGCTTGTGTGTGGCGGCCGATCGCTCCGGATCATCCAACCTCCCGGCTACAATAGTACAATTCCTGGTTAGTTCATGAAGGGTGCCTGCTTTGCGTATCCGCATTGGGGCACAGTTGCACTAGCTTTGCATCAGGGTTGGAACAACAACCTCTAAGAGGCATAAAGCAACCGCAAGAAGTACTGGCAGTCCTGGCCGTATGAGCTTGGCGGTTGCCAGAAACTGGGCGGTTCCTGCTAACATGGAACACAAGCACGAACGAAACCCAAAGTGGACTAATTTTGAGGTGTTTGAGTGACTTGGCCCTAGAGTGCTTGACCCTATTAATTGGGTCAGTCAGGCTGTCATCGATCCAGCCACCGGAAATTGGGGGTTGGTTGGTGGTTTTTGCAGATGCATGCCAGGAACGTCACAGATACGTTTGCACGTTTAACAGTAACTAGTCAAGGACGAAACTGCAAGTGAGTGGCACGTGCCGTGAACTAGGACTTCGCCGAAGCCATAGAATTGGAGCTGATTACATGCGACGGTCATGTTTTTCACACGCGAAGGTACGCGCGCCTGCTTGTATGCAGGCATGCGTGCGCCTTCCTGCTCACCTAACCGCTCGACTGCCTCGCCCTCGCACCGACTCTCGCCAGCGCGCCACGCGCGCGTGCTCTCCTTGCTAGCACGCCCCGCCCTCTTTCTCAGACGTGGCCCGCACACCCATCCACCCACCCACCCACCCACCCACCCACCCACCCACCCACCCACCCACCCACCCACCCACCCACCCACCCACCCACCCACCCACCCACCCACCCACCTATTTACACCCACCCACCCACCCACGCACGCACGCACGCACGCACCCACGCACGCACGCACGCACGCACGTACTCGCGCCACGCACCCCTCCACGCCCACACATGCACGCACCCACACACACACACCCACATGCCCCACACGCCCACAGACACTCATGACCGCCACATGTTACAGGGATGTTGTCCAGCGCTTGGTTGCTCATGGCTGATGTTACCGTGGCTGTTCCAAAGGCTCTGCCTGCGCCCCATCAGGAGGCTGCAGCTATCCGGGGGCCAGCGCAGGTGAGCCAAGGGGGTGTGCCGCATGTGCATGATTTGTTGAATGACAGCGCGCGTGTGGTTTGGACGTGTCTCAAATATGAGGAACGGTTCTGATGACTTTGTGGTGTGATAAGGTTCAGCATTCTGACATGACTTATTGGCTTATTGTTTAAAGCATCGCTTCCATACTGTTGTACAAGTGGGAAGCAGACAAGCAGAGACGTCAGACATTGGTTCGTTGGAGAGAGCAATTATTCCTGCATTTCTTCCCTGTCACCATGTATCACTTGAGAGTGTGTAGCTGCCATGTATATGGGATATTCATGTGACTTGACAACAATACCGACATCACGCCCAGCGCACACGTCAGAAGCACCCGAGCATGCACCAATCGTTTCATGTTTGCCTCCGTTCATGTGGATAGAGGTTTGAGATGCTTGTCACTGCAGGAATTGAACCTTTGGTTTTGCTTCTTCAGGTCTCATAGCTTCTGCTGTTGGCATTCCAACGGCTTCTGCGCTTGCTCATGTTGCAGAAGGCTGATGTAAGCAAGCATGGGGGTCCAAAGAAGCGCGCCAGGCTTCTGGTTTTAGCCAGACTACTTCTGAGAAGGAGAAGTGCTCACCTGGTACTGCTGGACGAGGCGTGTTTCTGCCCCGAGCTGAGCAAGCAGGACACGCTAAGTCATTTCTACTTTGCCGCTATGATCATGGCTTGTGGTGTGAATGTACCCCCACGACCCTAAGAAACGTTTAACGGTCAATTGTGAATGCAAGGCAATGGAACCAGCTATTTGGAGGGCTCCCTATTGACACATGCCCTCGCACACACAGTCAGACGGCACGAATATGGTGCCAGAGGTTTCTCGGAAGCAAGCCGTTGGTTTATTATCGAATAGGTTATCTTCTTTAAACATCGTCTTACAACGCATCAAAGCACTGTATGCTTGTGTCTTCTTTTAGGGGACCCTCCAATTGCGCAGCTGTGTTTCGTTTGGTGTCCCTTCAACCCCCCCCAGAAAAAAGAGCAACAACAACAAAACAACGGGTATCCCCCAAAACAAGACGACCAATGCCACATCTCCCTCGTCGCCAGCCCTTCGCTGGTATGGAGCAAAGTGAGGCGCGAGGAGTCGGAAGCCGCGACGCTCGTGTGTTTTGCGTCACTGGCCAGGACGTGCATGCAGGTTTGGATTGGTGGATTCGATTAGGATTTGAAGCTCTTGTAGAGTGCAAATGGGAAAGCGCCCCTAAGCCAAAAGTGACCCAAACCACCAATCCAAACCACCAAATAGGGGGAAGCTGATGTATGGCAGCGTTCATGTACAGTGGCAATCATGTGTCTTAAGTCAGCCCGCGGCTGCATTTGCACCCCGCACTTTTGTCGGCCGGCTTGGCACACACAAACACACACACACACACACACACACACACACACACGCTTAGCCACAAATTGCTTGGGCACATCAAGCATGGACTCTGACACACCCGAGACTAACTTGCAAATTACATTTGTCACTGCAGTGGCCTGGCAACAGCAAACTTGCGAACCTGCTTGTAAAGAAGGGAAAAGTTCCGTGTTTGTGTGTTTGTGTGTTGTTTCTCTCTATTTTTTTTTGTGTCCTTTGTTCTTTTGTTATATCCTTATATATTTCAAAAGTATTGTGTTTGCTGTTTTGCGTCTTTCTTGCTTTTGTTTTGCCTTTATATTTTTGTGTGTGTGTGTGTTTTGTTAGTCTTACTTTCTAGTTGGTCAGGTGTTTGGTCATTCTGTTTTTGTTTGTTTTGACGTGTTCTTTAATTGTAGTTTTTTTTACGTATTTGTGTTTGTCACTGTTTCTCATTTACGGCGCTCTTTCTTTGTTTCGTTTGTTATATATTGTTCATGTTTGTCAGTATTGTATGAGGTGGTTGTTTATTTATGTGGTTCGCTGCGTTCTATCTTTAGATCTGTCTTTGTTCATGTCTTTTTTGTTTCTATTGTTGTTACTAATGTGTTTGTAGTTATGTATATTATTCTTTCAATATGTCTTTAGACATTTCTTTATTTAAATATTGCTATTCATATGTTTGTCATTGTGTAAATGTGTTTCTTCGATAAGTTCTTTATTTCTCTCTTTCTGTCATTATTAATTTCAGATATTTATATTTTGCTGTCAGTGTGTGGTTTTGTTCTTATGTGTTTCTTTAGCTTTTTCTTTCTGTCTGTCTTTCTTTCTTTCTTTCTTTCTCTTCTTGCTTTGGTCGTTTGTGTTGTGCGCGTCAGCACCGCAGTGCTTTCCAAGCTTTTTGGCCAGGTCACTCCGTTGCACAGCATGCTCAAGCAGCAGCTTGCTCATGCTGCCTTGATGGCCGTGACGCACAGGCTTCACAAACGTGGCACTCCAGAAAACGGTTTGGATGCGCTTTTTGTGGATTTTACTTGTTCTTCCCCCTGTTAGTCCTTTGTTAGTACTCTTTTATTACTCTTTTAACATTCTACAGGCGAAGATCCACAAAAACCGCATCCAAACAGTTTCCTAGAGGCACTTTGTGGTGTCGATGGACAACCAGCTCCTTTGTTCAAAGCTGACTCGTTGACCTCTTAGTTTTCCCTTGTTGGTCCACTTTTAGTAAAGGTCCCAAAAGGTTGAGCTTGTATTTAGAGGTCCTTTGGGCAAGTGGGTCTTTGGTCTTCCCAGTGTTCAGAGGGGTTTCATTCATCGCAACCAACTGATGCGGGATTTTGTCCATCTGCAGTATGTGGTTTGTCATAATATATTTGTTTCACGAATTCGGCTTTTATGTTCAGATTGTGATACGTTTCTCACTTAATTTATGTGGTCTCGGTGTATTCTGGCGATTGCATTTGATGGCTATGTCTCGCAGTTTTGGTGGTTGTGAATCGTTGGGCAAGGGTCGACCCGCCGAAGCTTTGCTCCTTGGCCACACAAATTAAAGGGTGAACATGTTTGACACACGATTCCGCTGATCATATGCGGTTCGGCGTTTCGCATAACAGTATTTGCAGTTCCTTGAATGCCGTAAATAACACGTCAACATAGTCATCCTTTCGCATCACCATGATCGTTGTTCGTTCTGAAATTATGATTGGCCCGCTCCTTGCGGGTAATGTTTTTGGTGTTTTGCCTTCTTTGGCATGAACTTGTTGTGTATTAGTTCTGAATCGTAAGCTCTCTGCGCCAATACTCTGTGTTGGGCTTACGAGGGTCGGATGGAAGACGTGGAACAGCATCGCAGTGTTCATCTTATTGCCGGCCCCGTGCTTGCAGATCATGGCAGGCTGCTGCCAATTCTACACTTCTTCTCCCGCATCCTCGTCTTCGAGAAAGGCTGTTGCGTGCAGGAGCCTTTCAGCGCGTGTCTAATTCTTTCTCGCATACTGGCATGCCATTGGATTTCCGCAAATTGCTGCACGCCAAGATGGAATAGTGCTGGCAGCATGTGTATTGCAAAGGGTTTGCGAGCCAGTAATTAGACTTCCTATCTACAGTTGCTCTTATGCAATGCCAGTTATACCCATACACCCTCCATGCAAACTCCATGCACGCTGGCCAAACAGCACCTTGTGGCTACTCGGTGAACAAACACCTGCTTGTCATTTGAACTCCAAAGGAGTACCTGGTCGAAGGTGTATCCCTCATTTGAGCAATCAGAATTCGCCCCAAAAGCTCCAAAGCAAGAAGCCAGCTGCACAGGCAGTTCTACGAGCTACGTTTTGCTTTTTGCGGGTGTTTGGCCAATTTTCTGTATAGAACAACTCCTGTCGTTGCATTCTGATGAAGAAAAGCCTTTCGGCTGTAGCTAGGTGGGTGTGGTTCAAAATTAAAGAGCTAGGGTTGCGCGGTTTTCGTCTTTGTTTCCAATTCCTAGGGCTCCATTTTGGGTACCCACTTTTGACCCACAGCCAGGTGCCTTGCGCGTTTCATAGAAAAACACCGGCAGGATGCTTCACCAGCAGAGCTGCTGGCGGTCGAGGGACATGTGCAGCAGCTCTTTCTGCAGGCCGGTGGAGCATGCTACATGAGCGGTGTGTGCTTTTGTCGTAACCCTTTTCAGGTTGGTTTAAGGGAAACCGAAAAGAAAGCCACCATGCTGTGGGGTCCTGTATTTCGACATCTGACATCCAATCCATGTCAACATGCACGATATGCGTTGCTAAATAGTTACATCTTATCTAATGATCATGACTGAATTTAGCTTTAGACTAGAGTCCCTGCAAGCCCATTCTAGTTAGTTAGGCCCTTATCAAAGGAAGTTTCGAAGACCTGTCGCGACTGCCGTCTCGGAGACGGGCCCTTTGATCGTCCATTGAAATGCTCGTGCTGCTTCACGATTTCGCACGACCTGCAGGTTTTCAGGGGATTAATCTCAAACAAGTGCGTGGTGCTTTTCGTCGTTCAGCTTGCGCAGAGATCAAAAGGTGAACCAGCTGCGGACTTTCGGTTGGTTAACCCTAAAAGACCCGTATGTTTCAGCGTGTTTCACTTTCGTGGGCTGGAGAGGGCGAGAGAGAGAGAGAGAGAGGCAGAGAGACAGAGAGAGTGAGTGAGTGAGTGAGTGAGTGAGTGAGTGAGTGAGTGAGTGAGTGAGTGAGTGAGTGAGTGAGTGAGTGAGTGAGTGAGTGAGTGAGTGAGTGAGTGAGTGAGTGAGTGAGTGAGTGAGTGAGTGAGTGAGTGAGTGAGTGAGTGAGTGAGTGAGTGAGTGAGTGAGTGAGAGAGAGATATAGAGAAAGAGACTGAGACTGAGACTGAGACAGAGACAGAGAAAACAAAGAGAAAGAGAAGGAGAAATGGAGAGACAACAGAAAAGAAGCAGACAGAGACGGAATCAGAGATAGATAAAGCGAGAGACAACAGAGAAAGAAGAAGGAGACTGAGAAAGAGACGAGAGAAAGAGAATCAGAAGGAGAAGGAGAAAGAGAAAGAGGAATGGACAGAGAGAGAGAGAGAGAGAGACAGCAAGAAAGACAAGCGGAAAGATAGGGAAAATGAGAAAGATAAAGACAAATAAAAGGAAACAAGAACGAGAGAGGGAACGAGAACGAGCCAGTGAAAGATCCATTTAAAGAGAGTGGTAAGCATGGCCTTGCAGGGTGAGCTGTGATCTCTCGGTAATCAGGCTTGGTGGTTACCTGGTAGACCCATCAAAGAGTAATTCCTTGGATGCAAGCGGAGTCATCAGGTGCTTCTTGTCGGAAGTATTACACTGATATGTCGGCTAGGCAGCTTCCTTCAGGCATATTATATTTAAAACTGGGACTGACATCCTGGTGGGCGGACTACCTTCCTTTAAGAGTTCTGGAAGACGATGTGAGCAGCTCAAAACCTGGCTGCAACATGTGGGACAATCCTGTTGCGGATGCGGGGTGCGTTCCAAGAGGGTAGGAAGGCTCAGGGCAACAATTTTTGGTGGATCTTCGGGATACCCTTCAGGCCCTTCATCAGATTCCATAGAAGTTCCAAATTGAAAGACTTGGTTCCATTTACCAGGGGTTCCCTATCTTTCCTTTTTTGGTGGAAATCAAAACATCACCTTTTTTTCGTCCATGGGTGATGTTTTAAGGGGAAATATAGCGAGCCCTGAGTATGGCAATAGGGCAGTGTTCCCCTCCAAAAGTGATGATTCCCCAAATTTAACCCAGGGACAACCCCCCATTAGTAAACTGGGAAACCTAGGGAGCCCTGTTTACAGAGGCCACTTGGCGCAGCTTCCGGCGGTCACTCCGAGTGTACTCCTCAGGCGCCCAGCCGCCTCCAGAGCCACGTGGAGCGCATGATGGCCTTGAGACGCTCTGAGGCGCACTGTCGCACACAGGATGCCGTCACATGTCACGGTCTGATGCTTTGTAATAATATACATGTATACATACATATATACATATATATATACATATATTTGTGTATATGTATATGTATACATATAGCCAACCTTAAACAGGTGTAGACGATTCAGCACCATATTAATCCGGCTTATATCTATGTATATTGTCTTTAACGGGTACAACTGTAAGTACGTTCGCAAAGAGTTGGCCTAACTCCCGGTTTGCATACCACGAGACATTGGGAAAGGTTGGTTGTGTTCGCGAACGCCGGCAAAGGCCTTTGGAGTCCAAAATGTTCGCCTGAGCAATTCTAATGAAATTGTCTTCAGTGTATCGACGCTTCTTGCTTCTTGTTTTCTTTTGCGTGGCTACAAAGCGCGAAGGATCATAGCATTATGTTCCCCTGTTCCGGCCAAAGGTTTGATTTGGCTTTGATGATACGCTGGCAATGAGCACAGTTCTGCTTCGTGAGATCCAACATATTTCCACCAGTGTGCAAGTATGCTGTTTTCTGATGTTGTCATGTATTGATTCGCTTAGTTCATGTACAAAAGGAGCCAACAAAGAGCCGGAGTTCGAGTTGTATTCATGTCTGCAAGTTGTGATATCCAGTTGCGTTCACCCGCCAACACTGCTGTGTCAGCCAAACTGCAGCAATGTTTTGCCGCACCAGACTTGCTGAAGTTCATTGCCAGGGGCTTCATGCCGTACAGACGCTGCTGCAGTCTGTGAACAGCACCGGCCAAAGCGAGCCGGGAGCCGTGGAATTGCAGTTGTTATGCTTTCCCGCTGTCAAGTTCTTGAAAGGGAATTATGTGCTCTTATTGAGTGGCGGTGGTTGGGACACTAAGGTAGTTGAATCGCGGTGGTTGATTCTCTTCCAAACCCGGCTTAGATTTGGACAACAGGTGACATGTTCACTGGTCGATGTCTAGTCAAATCAAAGCACTGACGAACATGGTAAGTGACTTGTCCTTTGACAAACACGCCAGTACATGCTTGTCCCAACAAATGAGGATGAAGATGAGGATGAAGATGAAGATGAGGATTATGATGAAGATGAGGATTATGATGATGATGATGAGGGTGGTGGTCATGATACAAATCATGATAATATAATGGTGATGGTGATGGTGATGATCATGATGGTGATGGTGATGGTGATGGTGATGGTGATGGTGATGATGGGGATGATAGGGATGATGGTAATGAACATGGTGATGAAGCTGGTGATGAAAATGGTGATGGTGATGATGATGATGATGATGACGACGACGACGATGATGATGATGGATGTAGCCGCCGGAGCTGAGGTAGCTCCTTCTGCTGCTGCTGCCTCCCAACGTTTGTGCTGTGAAGCTTGAAAGACCCAGCAAGATGGGCCCCATCATACTCGTAATTTAAAAAAAAAAAAAAACGCATTCGGCAGGGGAGACATGGGGGCAAGTGGGAAACTATCATCAACGTTTGATCAAGACGGCAGGGTTTGGGTTGCAGCAATTCCTATCAGATTCCTTGAAACACATTGCCACGAACACGCTAGCCAGTTGCAAGCTTCCACACACACTTTTGAAAGCAGCTCTTTCAGCGACGTCCAACCAATTTTCTTATCATTGTCAGTCGTTGCAGTGAGATCATTCACTTCCATTTGCTTAATAACATTGTTTATTTTCCCCTGCTGGTTTTAAAGGGAATCTATCACTACTGGAAATATGTTTTTTTTCTCCAGTGGACTGAAGCAAATGGAAGTTCACCAGGGTGCCGCAGGTTGCATGCCGGGCATATGTCAGAGCCAACTGACTGAGGTCGGAGCCACCTCTGACTTAGCCTTCGGGTCAATGCCTGGGCGACGTCAGGCTGGGTCGTTTTTCTGGCGCGCACAGAGGGCTTTGTGCTTATTTGACTTGGAGGTTGCGAGCCATCCGGTTCCTCAGCTTTTTGGCCTTGGGCTTAGTTTCCACAAACCCACCGAAAGTTAGCCTTTTAGCAGGGGATCTGGAGCTGCGCTAAAGCTGACTGGCAGCCCTTCGGAACTTGAGGCTGAGCTTTGCAACTGGCAGTGAAACAAAGTGGCCTGCGCTTCTGCAAATGATGGTAGCCGCCGAGATGTGTGGGATTGTGTCAGCGGCCTTGCATCACTTTACTGTACTTGCGGAAAGTTGCTTCATTGATCTGGCAGAAGGCTTGTGGTTTGTTAGACAGCTGATCCTGTTGTTGAGTTGCCAATCTTATCTCATTCGACACACACACATATATATAGTATAATTATATATAGTATAACATATACTGAACATATATATATATATATTATACACAAATCTCTCCAATCCAATAGGTCATGCGTTTGGAAAGGTCATACGCGACTGGGGCAAAAGCCGCATGATAAGCGTTCGGCAAGAGTGCTGCGCTAGCACTCATCCCAGGTATGGCTGCTGTCCCAGCCCAGGCAACTCCTGAACCAACACAGGGCCTTTTTTCCAGTTGATTGAGGGGCTTTGCTAAGGCCTCGCGAAAGTTAAACCGTGTGCAAAAGTGGTTGAAGAGGCCCACGAAAGCGCAAAGCGTTGCGAGGGTGGATGTGTGCAGTTTCTGTGTAGCAGATTGCGACTCTCATTTTGGGCTCGTGAGGGCGAGCTATGCCATTGCGGACAGCGTCAAGTCCCTTTTGAGCCCAGCCGCAATCAAAAATGCAGCCGAATTCTGCAAAGGCTCCAATTGCCCCATGAAAGGGTTCTCACATCCTGTTTAGATCGCTTCTTTCATCAAAAACGTACGTCACATATTTGCGAAAGTAAAACGTGTGTCTGCGAAAGGTTGCGTGTACCAGGTCTTCAGCACCGCTCAAGTCTGTGTCCTAAACAAATGCATCACATGTAGTTTTGACATAGAGCTTACAATGTTGGAATGTCTGGCCAAGATGATCATACTGCACTGCGAACCTTCGAATAAGAAGGCAGCCCGTGGTTTTTGATGTTGTTATCCAATTCTTTATTCGCTTCCCTCGGATTGAAGTACGGCGCTGCCGGTCTTTCGGGGCTGACCAGCTGCGGCTTTGCAGGTGGCGCGCAGTCAGCCGAAACAAGGGCTGGCCGGGCGCTGAAAAGAGTCGCAGCGCCTGCTGAATTCATGCACAGACCGTTTCGGGGTTCTTATGAAATTCAGAAATCTTCGGGTATATCAAGTTACATCAGCCTGCTCAAGACTTGACAATACAGGGATTCAATGCGTTTTGCTGTCATAGTGCTGAACGGGTCTTGCAAAGCCGCGATGTCGAAGTCCCTGTCAAGTGCAATTGGGAATTTGCCCTGGATGATGCACGGATCATTTTGCTCTTCTATCACTTTGTTTGTTTCCCTGTCCAAGCCCAGCATCATCGGTTCCGGTGTCATGCTCTGGGGCAGGCCAGAGCAGGAGAATCAAAATGGCCAGTTCACTCCAGCCACACCAACACGGGGCAAATCCTGGATATTGCATCTTCTGTTAGAAGGACATTTCAGTTCACGCAGCAAGCGTTTGCGGCTTTGACCCTTTGGAGGCTAGGAGTTTGACAGGCTTTGCGGTATCGCTAAGCATCATCGCTGTTGAAAGGACTGTGCCAAAGCCAGAGGGGGCAATATGCAACAATATTGCTGTGGTTTCGCAAGATACCATCATTCATCCGGCACTTGTAGCCATTTCATATACATGCTGTTTTAGCTATCTTTGTATCACACGCAGTTGCTGTTTTAGCACGAGGCTAGAAATGCCAAAGTTCTTTGCATGTGTTTGGTTCATGATTAGATGGAAGGAAGAAAGGAAGTATGGATGGATGGATGGATGGCTGGATGGATGAATGGATGGATGGATGGACAGGTGGATGACCGAACGGACGGATGGATGCACGGGTAGAGTGAAGTGATCACTGACCCCGTCGAACTACAAGAGGGAGGGAGAAGGGAATTGCAAGGCCGTGTGGATGAAAAGAAATATGGCTTGGCGTTGCAGGTTTTCCAGGAAAGGGCGTGTGTAGTGGATTCTGTTCTTCGTCAAGTGGCTGCGGCCACTGGCGCCGGACTGTTTTGAATTAGGTGTTTGCATTCTATGAATTGGCAATTTGTTTGCCTGCAGTCAAGCCTCACCAGGTTTGGTTGCTAGGCAATCAATGACTTGGTCCAAATGGGCACATGCTGATGTAGTGGACGTTGGATGTGGCGCCTGGTAGCTTAGTGTGCTGAATGCTGTTGGACTTGCAACCGCGTCCTAGTGTGACGACTCGTGCCTTGCTCTTGAGATTGCTTTGAAAGCTGTATCTATTTGCTTTATTACCTGCACCCCTATTTCCCTATGAGGGTGCGATGGGATGAAATCAGTTTGTTCAATGCCTACCATGATTGTCACATGTTCGACAGAGTTTCTTGAATGTAGGCACAAGACCACGAGAAAGAGAGCGAGAGAGGGAGAGAGACTTGCCGCACCCTTGATGCACTCAGCCAAGTGGAGCAAGAACAAGAGCGCCGGGGTTGCATGGAGGTTTTAGTCCTGGCTAATTGAACCAACAAACAGACACGACAGCTCGGTTCTTCAAGGTTGGCAGGTTGGCCTTTGGCCACTGTAGTTTCCAAGTGTTGGTCCATTTTCAGTCTTGTGATTCCGCAAGGTGAGTTAATCTTTGATGTTCTTGTCCTTTTGACCAGACCGGCCACAACCGGCACCACCCAAAACAGCCAAACCACCACAAGCACAGCTGTTGCGATGCCAGCACATGCCAGCACCAGTTTTATCCAAGCCCACCAGCCCAACCCATCAGCCCACCAACCACAACACCCCACCCCAACCCCACCAACCCAAACCAACCAAACCCAATGCAACCCACTAACCAGCCCAAACAAGCTTCAACACCCAGCCCAGCCGCAGCCATGCGCGATGATGTGAGCTGTTCCTCCACCTCCTCCTTGCCGGACTTGGAGCCATTGGAAGTGCCTCTGGCAGAGCTCAAAACCGTCCTGCCGGAGCCGCATGTCTTTCGCCTTGGCAACGCGGCTTGGTGAAGATTACGTGGAGGACGGTGGCACTGGTGAAGGTGTTGTCTCTCTGTTTTTTTTTTCTCTCTCTCTCTCTCTCTCTTTGTCTCTCTCTGTCTTTCTTTCCTTCTTTCTTTAATTCTATCTCTCTCTCTCTCTCTGTGTCCTGTGTACGAATGTGCGAATATATGTTTGCGCGTATAATTGCGCATGTGTGTGTGTGTGCGTGTGTCTGTTTATGTGAGAACGATGAAAGTGTGAGTGTGATTGTGTGTGTGTGTGTGTGTCTTTGTGCGGTTGTACTTGCGTGTGTGTGTGTGTGTGTGTGTGTGTGTGTGTGTGTGTGTGTGTGTGTGTGTGTGTGTGTGTGTGTGTGTGTGTGTGTGTGTGTGTGTGTGTGTGTGTGTGTGTGTGTGTGTGTGTGTGTGTGTGTGTGTGAGAATGACGCATGTGTGAGTGTGTTGTGTGTGTGCGCAAGTGTGTGTGTGTGTGTGGGTGTGCGTGTGCGTGTGCGCGTGCGCGTGCGCGTGCGCGTGCGCGTGCGCGTGCGCGTGCGCGTGCGCGTGCGCGTGCGGGGGCGTGGGCGTGGGCGTGGGCGTGGGCGTGGGCGTGGGCGTGGGGTGGGCGTGGGTGGGGTGTGGGTGTGGGTGTGGGTGTGTGTGTGGGCGTGTGTGTGGTGTGTGTGTGTGTGTGTGTGTGTGTGTGTGTGTGTGTGTGTGTGTGTGTGCGTGCGTGCGTGCGTGTGTGCGTGTGTGCGTGTGTGCGTGTGTGCGTGTGTGCGTGTGTGCGTGTGTGCGTGTGTGCGTGTGTGCGTGTGTGCGTGTGTGCGTGTGTGCGTGTGTGCGTGTGTGCGTGTGTGCGTGTGTGCGTGTGTGCGTGTGTGCGTGTGTGCGTGTGTGCGTGTGTGCGTGTGTGCGTGTGTGCGTGTGTGCGTGTGTGCGTGTGTGCGTGTGTGCGTGTGTGCGTGTGCGTGTGTGCGTGTGTGCGTGTGCGCGTGTGCGCGTGTGTGTGCGTGTGTGTGCGTGTGCGCGTGTGCGCGTGTGCGCGTGTGTGCGTGTGTGCGTGTGTGCGTGTGCGCGTGTGCGTGTGCGTGTGCGTGTGCGCGTGCGTGCGTGGGTGGGTGGGTGGGTGTGGATGTGGATGTGGGTGTGTGTGTGTGTGTCTGCGAGTGTGTGCGGGTGGGTGGGTGGGTGGGTGGGTGGGTGGGTGGGGGGAGGAACGGTTGGAACCGCGTCCTGCTCCAGTGGGTGCTGCGGGTAGACGAATGGCCAACGTCAGTGTAGAGCAGCTTAGGGCGATCCTGCTCCAATGAGATACTCGCAAGGGATTGAGAACGTTTCCTGCGAAAAGGATCCACCGGTGAGAACGATGCGTTTCATTGTTTGAACAAGTGAGCGTCGAATTGTTTGCCCACAATGTTCAAGTCGTCGGGAGGGACATTGTTCTTGAACATGTGCACGACGCGCAGAAACATGCCGAAGGGAGTTATTTCGATTGAACAGTTTCAGTTTGTCAACAGCTCTTTTGCGCCACTACTTGTGGAAGCATGGCTTGTAAAGCATGTGCCGCAGAAGGACGCGCCAAGCAAACGATGAAAGACGTACCGCGGACGCCCGCGACAAGGATGCGGAAGGGTCCGCCCACGCTTGAATAAGTTCCAATCAAATTTAGGAATAAGCCCTAACCCCAAACCCTATGACCCTAAACACTAAACCTGAAAGAGTTGCAGATTATTAACGTTCATGTTGACATATCCCCCTTCAGGAAGACCTTTCCGAGACTGTTCCGGCGATCTCAGGACAGCCAGCCACCCGAGTACGACCCGGCCTCGATTTGGGATGAGCCGGTGCAGCAAGAGAGCCACTGGGAGGAGGAGGTCCGGCAGGAGACGCGGCGCTTGATGGCGCAGGTCTGCAGCGAGACCTTCTGCGAGGAAGAGCTGGGATATCCCAAGTGGCCTGAAGAAGCTCGCTAAGAAACAGCCCAGGCGTTAGACTGTCAGTTTTCTGCAGTTCTTTTTCGTCTTTTGAATTCGTTTTGGTGGTTCTTGATAGCACGCCACTCGCCACATATTTGCGCTATGCCAGAACAGCCTCGAGGTGACATGTAATATATTTACAGGAGTGGAGAAGAATCTGGAGTTGGTCCTTTGGCCTTGGCATCTGAGTTGAGGTTTGCTAGGAAGCCTTTCCATGCATTGATGTTCCCATGGGAATGTGGGATTTTAGAAGGGTGTGAATCAGCCCATGGTTAGTCCAGGCACGCTGGTGTCTGTGCCAAGGAAATGAAGGACCCCACGTACTTCAGAGCAGAGCTTCAAGAGATCCGGAACGACCCTCGGAAGAATCCCAACCACGGGCGATCCTTGGAGGATCAGGACAGTGTGGGGAAATTCTTGCTGGTTCTCAGTAGGGAATGAGAAATGGAATGACCCTTATAAACCATCCAACTGATGGTTTCCTTTAAGGCAGCACCAGCAAGAATATGGTTGCCATTTCAGTCCGAGGTTGCCATGTATTCAATGGGAAAACAGGCGCCGATGGGTGCGTGCTGTAGTGCTGGCCACAAGCGAACCACTGCGACACATCACAACGCTGAGAGCAACATCCACGTGCAGGTGCATATCCATCGTATGTGAGGTTCGTGTCCACAATCCAGTAGATGTAAGTATGTTCCGCCCAGGTACAATATCGGGTTTTCCAACTTGGTTGTTGCTTATCAAATGTTTGCTTGCCTTTGTCCTTCTCGTATAGATTTGTTTTGTTGCACGCCACCAACCGAGGCTAACAATTGCCTTTCCTACTATCAGAGTCAATAGTTGCTGTCTTTAGTCCGCCGGTGCCATCTTTAAGAGCGACTATGCAAGAAATCCCGCACCGTCTGATAGGGCGCGCCCCGCGTCCTGAGTTCAATGCTGAACAGTGATGCACGATGGTGGTGCAGGATTCTTGTCAATGTGCGTGGTTTGTGTGTGTGTTGTGTGGTGTGTGTGTGTGTGTGTGTCTGTGTGTACCTTTCGAAGAACCAATGTTGAGTTGAGAGCGCAAGGCGTGATGAGACTGTTCTCATGTAGGCGGTGCGCGGCGTCAGCATGCTGCAGCCCCAAACAAGATAAGGCCTATCATGTGGTGGCAGTGCTGTCTGTTTGGCTGAGTGAGTGTATGTGTGTGTGTGTGTGTGTGTCCCTTTCGCATCATGCTTGAACGTAGATGGCTGTGGGTCAAAACCAATGGTATCCCATTTTGGGGTAGGTGCGCCACCCATTTTAGTCTATTTTAGTGGTTGGATTGGGATGTTCGCCTGGGGGCTAACCGATTTGGATTTTGACCCATGGCCAGATGGCCACTCAAGATGGATCCGCAGACGCGGATCCACAGATGCCGCGCCTGGCAGCGGCACCCAGCACTGCCTGGATCATTGGTTCTGCTTACGAGTTGCGCTGTTGCAATTTGCATGGTGGTCTCTTGGTTCCCAGCTATCCCCTTAGCTTTTTGGCTTTTTGGGGTTTCGTGGGGATTTCCCATTTCACCCACTAAACGTTCGTCAATGTTCGTCACTTTTAGCGGGGGATCAAAAAACGGGCGGCCCATGGCACATGGGTGTGCCCCTGCGAACAGTTTTCTTGCCGCTAGGAGTTCTGGAATGAAGCGGCGCGCCAGCCTTGGGCGAAGGTTTTGCTCCGCAAGGAGCAATTCTGGACGGAGCGGCGCAACGTTTGGCGCCTCGTTTGTCAGCCGGATTTTGGGGGTACGCTTGGAACTGGTTTAGTTAAAGGGATTTGTTTTCTAGATGTGCCCTTTTGAGGCTTTTGAGGTTGATTTGACCGTTGATTCCTTCTCTTCTTTTTTTTGGGAGGGGTTCCCTTATACTTATTTGGAGTTAGAGACACAAGCGTATTTTTTGGTGGCAAGGATACTATGTGTTTCTCATTGTGGGCGTACTCTCAAACATTGGGTAGCCCGAAGTTTGGAAACAAACGATGCCTGTGCTTGCCATGGTTTGGCAAGAATGGACTACGCCCTGGTTGTACTTTCACCTTTCGGATGTGGTCCAATAGACACATTGTGCAAAGGAGCCTTGGATGGGCGTGAACAGCCAAGGCTCTAGACTTCGTTGAACAAATGTCCATTCTACAGCAACTGGGTGATTGTTTAAGCCACCCGTATGCTCCCCCTATGTTGACACCTCCTATGTTGACACCTACCCCAGCCAGCTTTCTTGCACGCCTTGGCAGGCTCAAGCAGTACGGCGCCGTGATCCGCGGCAACCGGGGCCGCTCCCAAGTGGTAGATCAGCTTGAGGACGGCGCCACGGGGCCATGGAGTGGGCGAAGCTTTTTCTCCAGCTGGAAGTGGTGGGGTCAATAGGCCCAAATAGGCGCTGGGCGGTTTGCGGCAGCTTTCAAGGAGGGTTCCGATATCACCTGGTGTTTGGTGTTCTGAGCGGACAACAAGGTGCAAGTGCCATGCAATAGATGTTGTGTGCCTTTTCCGATATCCAGCGAATGACCCAACCCATGACGGTTCCTTGTCTTAAGCCCATGTCAATGTCTGGTTTGTGAATTCGTGTTTGTTGCCAGGTTGCTTCTCTTCCAGTTGCTTAAGAATATGGTTTATTTGTCCCTGTTGGTTTTAAAGTGAATCTATCGCTACTGGAAAGACTTTTTTTCCAGGGGACTGAAGCAAATAGAAGTTCTGATTTCAGGTTCGGTTTTCACAGATGTTCTGACCTACGGCCCGCAGTTTCAGAGCCATAGGTGTCCTTTTGGGTTGTCTTGGTAGACAAATCGGTGGCTTTCCTGGTGGTTTAATCATCTAGAAGGGAAACCCATCTATTTCCCCTAAAAGGACGCCGTTCTGAGCTTCACCCCAAAGGACTGTCCCATGGAGCTAAAGCGCCTGGTGGCGCCCTTCCTCCACCACCGCGTGGTCGAGAACCTTTTGCTCACTGCGCTGGAGGCCGGCGCGCGCGCGCCGTGTTTTGCAGTGCAGAACGACCCCCAGCGGGGTTTTCCCTTGTTCTTTTTTGTTGGGAGGGTGTGTCCCATGAACCCACACCCGTGTATATTAATATATATATATATATTAATTAATATATACAATATATACAGAATGTGTATAGTATTAATTTAGATACACCAATTTGTTTGAGGCTGCTCCCCTTCAAATCAGCTGCTGGACGTTCATTTCCACTGGAGGTCTGCGAGAATGTTCTCTTTGACTGGGGTGGTTCCCTTGAAGTTGGGGTGCATATGCTTACTTGTGAGTAGTAAGCACATGTGTCCTTTTATAGGTAAGTTTATTTGGAACTCACGGGTTCCACAGGTTTAGATTGGCTTTATTCCCCATGTACCAGGGAAAGCCATCTATTTTTCCAAAGGGACACCTATGTTAGCAAGGGTCTCCGGATTCATACCAGGTTAACATACCAAAGGCCCCTCATTTAGTATCCTTTGCTGAGGGATTCCAGCTGCAAGCCACAAGCAGGAAGGCAAACAGATGGTTTTGTCGTTTCAGCATTTGCCAAAAACAAAGCAATTCCTGTGATTGTCTATCACATTGGTTAGTGGCACTCTCGCATTAGCCATGATTCATGATTAGACGCGCTTGCTGCCTTTGATTGGGTTTTCAATCAAGGAATTTCCAGATACTCCTATGATTCAATCGATTTGCAAGCCTACCACATGTTTCTTGCGGCTGCTTATTCCAAAGCACGACTGAAACCGGCCTGTTCCTGACGTCGTGCTCACACAACGGTCTCCCAACTGTGGAAGGCTTGAAGGCCACGCGAGCCATGTTTGTTGTTGGCTGGAATTTGTAGGTCATGCCTTGGATTGCACACTTGTTATTTTGTCAACCAGGGACAGCTTGAAGATTGAGCACGACATGGGCTTAACCTTGAAGCTGGCAAAGCTGGACACTGCCGGTCCGCAGTGCTGTATCGCACATTGTTTGCAACACGACTATTCTCCTTCTTTCGCTGCTCCGAAGAATGCAGTATGGTGATCAAGCAGTCCAAGCACGCGTTAAATTAGAATCTGCAGTTCCTTGGTGCGGTTTGCGGGCAACTGCTTCTTTGCTTTGACAAGCCCAGCTGGTTGTTTTTGATGTAAGCAAGGCTTGGTTCAGTTTCCTCGCAGTGCCGGGGCTTGTTTACCCAACGCCGCAGACATGATGGTTTTTGGAGGTCTCATGGTAATCGCAGGTGATGGAACCTGATCGTAGGTGATGGAACCTGAAAGTAAGGCGTCCATTTCCCAAACCATGTTGTTCCTCACTAGCAAGTTTTGCCCACTGAAAGGGGGCATGATCTCAATCCCTGAGTTTCTGACCTTCGTACTTTTTGGGAAGACAAGTTTAGTGAGAACAACAAGTTCAGGCGTGATGCTTGTTGCCCTGCTCAGTTGGAGGCTGCTGCGGTGGTGTGGCAATTGCAGTGGGTCACTGTGTTTGCGGCTGAAATCAGGCAGTTTCGGGGGAGCCTATTGCAATTGTCTTTGCAAACTCAGGCGAAAACAAAAGCGTCAGGCAATGAGATGGCGCAGTTGCCAGCTCAAGTCGAGATTCCTGGGGTCTCTAGGACTCTTTCCTTTTCTTTGCTTCGAAAGTACCAGCCATGGCCTTTCTTGCCGGTTTCGTTCTCCTTGGCGCAGCCGAAGCGGCGGTGCACAGTGGCTATTTGTACGATAAGCTTTGTGTGGATGAAGGTGTTGGCATTGATGGCGTGGACAGCCGGACGGAGCCGGAAAAGCACACATTGGACTGCTTGTTGTTCTCGCCCTGCATTGAATCCGGGTATGGCATCCTGACCAGACCAGAAGGCCAGAGCCATTATTCCATGGATGTACTGCTGTCAGCACAAGGCAATGCAGATGTCATCACCTGGTTGACCACACAGGAGGGTTGGGGAAAATGTTGTTTAACCACTGGGATGGGCGTGGGTCAAAAATAGGTACCCCAAATGGATCCCTGGTAAATGGACACATGAACTAAAACCTGGGTTCCCTGGTGGTTTAATTTTGACCCATCCCCAGATGACATCTTGATATAGATGTTTAATCACCCCACCATGGTTTAACCCAGTGAAGAAAGGGGCCCTGGCCCGACCCCGCACAGGAATACTTGGGCAACCACGTAGAGATTAGTGGGCTCTACGACTCGCAGGGGCGACTGCATGTGGACACCATCAAGCGCTTGAACGATGGCAGCATCTGGAATGGCTCGGGTGAAGGCACGAGTAGTGAAACCAGCACCACCTCCCTAGCACCAATCAACACTCCAGAACCAAGCTCCACTAGCTCTACCAGCCGCACTAGCTGTACTAGCTGTACTAGCTTCACTAGCTTCACTAGCTCCTAGCACCGCGCCTAGCCCCGTCATGTGAACCGCTCCTAGCACTACACTCGCACGCGCAAGCGCGACCACCACTTTTGCCCTGGCAGGCTCTGGTTCTGAGACCTCGACTTTTGGGATCTCGACTTCTGCTGCTTTGGTGACTTCAGCTGCTGGCTGCAGTTCCATGCTGCTGGCGACCACGCTGATTGTCTTATTCCGTCTCTGAGCTGTGGGAAGCAGCCGCTGGGACTGAACAAAGCCAGCCGAACCTGTAAAGGATTGTAAAGGGCTGTACAGTTGGATGGCTGGGTGCGATTATTTTGTTGTCAACCGATAGCTGGCTGGTGGCTGTGGATATGTTGTTGTCAGCCACTTTAGCTGGTTATGCATGACTATCCGAATTTGACAGATATATTTGGGACAAACATGCACAAGTCAAGCAACCAGCAGCTGGTAATAGCTATTTTCCAAATAAAACCACCAGCCAGTTGGGTATTTGACGAAAGTGCATTGCCCATGGTGACGGCTGCTGGCAAGTCAATGGCCTATTGCGAGGACCTTGCTTCGGCCAGCAAAAACCGCCTGAGCCAGTAAATTTACCTCGTGTAAATGATGTTGTTGATGATGCAGCATACATACATGCATATCTATATGCATACATGCAAACATACTTGCATACATACATACATACATACATACATACATACATACATACATACATACATACATACATACATACAGACAGACAGACAGACAGACAGACAGACAGACAGACATACGCACGTACGGACATCCATCTACAGTATGTCATCCATGCATCCATCCATGCATCCATGCATCCATGCATCCATGCATCCATGCATCCATGCATCCATGCATCCATGCATCCATGCATCCATGCATCCATGCATCCATGCATGCATCCATGCATCCATGCATCCATGCATCCATTCATCCATCCATCCATCCATCCATCCATCCATCCATCCATCCATCCATCCATCCATCCATCCATCCATCCATCCATCCATCCATCCATCCATGTGCATGCATGCATGCATGCATATATACATAATGTATATATATATATGTATAATAATGTAAATTGGGTCGTCATTAAGAACAAAGCACAAAAGAACAACAAACAGATTCGGCATGGCCTACCTACCTTTTCCGGGAACCTTTGTGGAATTTCCTGATGGGTTGTTCGACAATGTGCGCGTTGACCCTTGTGTTACCCCGCCCGCCTGGAATGGATAGGATCCGACAAGCTCCGAAGTCCAGTAGGTTCAGTACAGAAATGAGCAAGCACCAAATCTCCGAACTGAGCAATGTGAAGCCCATGACTCACTGCCAAACCCTGCCAGTCGTTTGGTTGACTCATAGCCACCTCGCCTATCAGGGGTTGGTCCTTACCCTCTGTTCAACCATCGTGGACGTGGATAGTGGGGCTTCCCCAAAAGGAAAGTAGTCTTCCAAAACCTTCCAGAGGGCATCTTGGCAACACGGAAGGAGGCTGAGTTGACCCTTGGGAATCCAGTCTAAAGATAGACCTGCAACTTGAGGCTCTAACAAGAGTTGTCTTTCCGGCGGCTCATGTTTGGCTGAATACTTTATCTCAAGCAGCCTTATCTCGTATAATTGTATCCTTTTTTGAGTTTTCTGCGCTGGTTGTGCTGTTCAAGGGGTGAAGATGCGCTTTGCGGGCTCATGTCAAGTTTCAGTTTCATTTGAGTTGGTTTCACTGTCTTGTTCAACACCCACCAACACCTGAAGACCTTACATATAGTAAACATGTATACATATATATATATATATATATATATACATACACATATCTATATACTTGTCTATATGTCTATATATATAAAAATAATCATATACGTGCTTGTATCAGTGTATATATATATATATATATGTATACATACTCACGTTTCTGCGCTGAACCATATTGTCTTGAAACCTGTTGCCCGTTCGAGTTTTGAATTTTTCGCCTTCTGGGCCAGCAGCTTTCTTCGCGCAGAGCGCGTCGCAGGAGGCCTCGGAGTTGGGTTTGCCCTTGGGGGACTTTTTGCCGGGCAGCGAGCTGATGCGGGAGCTGCAGGCGTGCTGCGCCCGCCTGGCAGAGCCGAACCAGGCGAAGCGAAGCAGACACGTCTTGGGCGAAGCCGTGTCGTTGTTTTTTTGTTGGTGTGCTTTTGGTGGTTATTGGTGTTTTCCCATGGTTTTGTTTTGTTTGTGTGTGTTTTTGTTGGGTGTTTCTTGTTTTTGTGTTCCTTTGAAGCCACCAACAAAAAGGTACCCTCAAAAAAGACAAAGCCGCGGGGAGGTAAAAAAGAACCAACCATTGGTGGATTTGTCATGTCGACTTATGACCTATACAAAGTCGTGGGCGTTGCCGCGTGACCCTTTGCTCGATGTACAAGAACCCAGTCACCTTTGATTTGCTGAATCACACAACCCTTTGCTGCCTAGTGACTATTTGTGAAAACGTATATCTTTGTTTCGGGCCAAGAGCTCCAGAACATAATCTGCCCATGGCTCTCTTCATATCTCTGAAAAACGGAAACTTGGGCATTGCTCGATCAATACAAGCCTGCCAACCCAGCTGCAACTCTTGGCCATGGCGCCGAAGTCTCACGGTTTGCACGGATGGCAAGTACTGTGAAAGATGTCCAAGTCACGCCTCAGGATCTTTAGACCAAGTTGCTTCGCTAAACGGTTATTGAGATCACTATCTTTGCAGCTGTCACTTCAAGCGTCCGCACCTGAACTGGCTGTTGCCTTGAAGCTTTCATCTGAAGAAACGACACACTTTTGCTGTGGCTTTATTACCTTGTGACTGATTGAGATGCTTTCTGGCATGGAACCTGCTTCGCTACGAGAGAGTTCGAAGCCCGAGCCCTGCGTCAAACGAGCTCACCCAAAGCTTCTGGCGGATTCCTGATGTCCGGTCGTCCTGGTCACGTTGCCATGGAACCCACCAGCCTGGGCGCCTAAAGGAATCACAGTGTGGACCGCGACACGTCAGGTTCCAGATTGGCGGATGGGACCCTCCCTCCAACAATCATGACGGAAGGGTGCTGGAAGAGTACTTGCCTTTTGGGGAAGACCCCCATCGTCCACTTCCATGATTGGTGCACAGGGAATGACCTTTCGGGTTTTGGCAATGAACCCCTTGGCGATTCCCTTGAAGGCAACCATGTTGGGGCGTGTTTTTTTCTATCTGGGTCATTCCATTTCTCGTTTTGTGCCTATCGAACCAGCAGGTTTATTGGCCACAATGTGTCCAGGCGGTGCTGATGCAGAACGAGTTGGACGGCCGCATGCGGGCAGCACAGGAGGCCAGCTAAAACCAGTGGTCCATATCCTGGTGTTTTAGTTTTGACCCATACCCAATTGGTTGGTTTCTTGTTGCGTTTCCTTTGAAACATTCAAATAGACCCGGCACGTGTTGCCGAAGGAGTTATGCTCCAATAGTGGCTGGGTAGCTCAAGTGGCGGGACTCCCTTGTTGCTCGGTTTGCTCGAGCGCTTCTGGGGCCGACATTGTCAAGACTTCAGGCGGCAGACGATGCATTTTGGGTGACGAGATATTCCCTCATATTCCCTCAGATTTATGGACGGAAGTGAGACGTGCAATGTGTTGTCCGTTGGACACGAATCGGCCGCCAGAAAAACAAAAAAAAAGCACGTGACGCTGCCAAGTTTGGTGTCGACATCTACCAACCCGGGCCCCAGAGAAAGTCCAGTCAAGCTGCTTGCAAGTTCCACTCGCCATGGGCGGGTGGCCATACCATGCCTTTCGGTGGCCCAATGGCCATGGGGCCACTGGCTTCAGAGGCGGCACGGCCATTTTTTAGTTGGCTCGTGGGCATGGGTCACAAACACTGTTCGAGTCCCTGCTTCGATAAGGTGGATCAAGGACACATGTCACAAGACCTGAGTTCATCAATATTCATCTTCCTCTTCATTCAGTATCAGGTTGCCTGGCAATCGCAGCCAGGGTGTGCCGAGCTTGAGTTGAACCATGCTGGAACAATTGTTGTTTAAACATTCTCGGTCGGGTTTCTCTTAGAAGGGAGCTAGGGTGAGGTGGTGTAGCCGCGGCTTTTCCATCGGCAGGCTGCATTGAAGGAGCAAGAGCAACAGGCGAAGGCGCAGCCCCGCACCATCATCGACATGGAGGGCCTGCGTGTTGCTCTGGAGTACGGCCAGAAGTGCCGAAAGGCTGGAGAGTTGGAGAGCTGGAGCTGGAGGGCTTGGGTCGTGATGGTTTTTCATTGTCAGGCTTTATAAGAGGGATCGTGGTCTTGGCTGGATGAACGCCCAAGTGGATGCGCGCAGGATGGCCTCGTGGAGTACCACAGAGGTAACTTCGAGGAAGCTTTGCACAGCTGGAGGCGTCAGCTGGCTGGAGGGACCCCCCGCAAAATGCCAAGATACGCCAAGTTTCCTTTACAAAGAAAGAAGAATCAACCCATTGCTAATTATGCTCAACTCAGACCGAAGCAGTGTTTTGCGATACGCCAATGCATTGCACCAAACCATGTGTACCGTTTCAATTTGTCTGCCTTGTTTGTGGCATTCCCCTTGGCTAGAAGGGAACAAGAGGCGACAGGGTCGGAAACAGGGGCAAGCCCATAGTTTCATAGCTGAATGGATGGGGAAGCGTTGGAACATGTCAGGAATGAGTGTGAAAACATGGCAAAATGTCAATCGCTGTGCCTCATCGGTGCAGCGGTTGCACTATGTGTTTGCTGATGAATATGTTTTTTGTGCACGAAGATCAAGTGGTGGGTTGGCACGAGGATTCTGGCATGTTCCGGCAGGCACAGCTGATGGATAATATCTCAGCAAGTCATTTCTCACATTGCTGACCATTGCTGACCACGGTTGACATGTGACACACCGATTGCCCCACCAAAAAAGCGGCTTCCTTAAGGCAGGGGCTGCTTATCAACCACATCCAACTACCCGCGTTCAACCGCCAGGCAGGGAGATGTGGCGCTGCGGCGTTTCCGCGCGCCGCTGCGCTGTGAGGCAGGGGTTGGCCTTCAAGAGCTTGAACTCAGGCCGAAAAGACGCGGATGGTTTTGCGGCAACGGGTGGCTCGTCGTTTTTTTTTGGGAGAGTTGGTGCCCCTGTCTTTTGTGGTTTTAAAGGAAAGCCAAAAGGACAACCACCATTTTGTGGGTCTAAAAAACAACAACCCCTGCAAATGGCC